GCTCTAAGTATCGCGGGCCTACCCCCGCTACTCAAGTGTTTTCCCTGCTGCAACCCTCAAAGTCACGGTCACAGGTAAGTACCGGCCCTGAGGGGCCTTTCAACCAACAAGTACCCTTGCCGGTCACACACACACTCAGCCGACGAACACTCAGACAGGCACGCAAACCAGCAGATACGCACACACACACAGACTTAGAAACCACAGCAGAATGCGGGAATCTCAGCAAGGCATTCATTCCAGCGGCAAATCCCAGAAATCAGCAGTGTTCTCAGTCTGTGTTTTGGCGGGTCATTACACCACCTATCTCTTTGTTTCTTTGGCAAGCTCTGAAAGGAGCATTTCATCCTTTGCCTGTATGTCAACAGGAACTGAGTTGACCAGTCGTCCTGTGCCTGTTTTTTCTCCAATTTCTCTGTTTGCAAGGAAAAATGAGCGATAGCGAACTTCAGAAATCAAACAGCATCATTGTTACGTACTCCGCCATCCCTGGTCTATCTTTTTGCTGTTTCGGCTGCATCCCGTTTTCGGCCTGGCACCCTTTTTCCAAACCCCTCCTTTGGTACCATAGGATTTTGGACAACTGGCGCCATGCTGCAATTCGGGCGCCACTTTCAAATACCGCATTTTTCAGTTCTGCCCTCAGGGCCTTTGCAGAAATGCCCCTGGTACCGTACGCGTCACCGGTACTTGTACCGGCTCCCCGTACGGTACGGGGACCAGTCTCGTACCAGTTTCCAGCTGCTGTACTCGTACTCCGTGTGACTTGCTGTTTCGGCATTCGGGAATCCAAGACTTCGACTTTGTGCCCTTGCCACTGTGTCTGCGTCCAACCCTCAGTCGCGTCGAGTGAGTGAGTGTGTGTGTGTGCTCTCACTCTCTCCCTCTCTCTCTCCCTCTCTCTCTCCTCTCCCTCGGCTCTCCCTCAGCCTTGCGCGTGTTACACTGGTATCGGAGCGGTTCGAACCCGCCCGACCCACCCTGCTTCGTCATCACCACCTGGCCATCATCACCATCATCGTCGTGATCGTCGTCGTAGTGCCACATCTCGTCGTGATCATCGCCGTCGTGCCACATCATCATCGTCATCGTCGCGATCGTCGTCGTCATGCCACGTCATCATCGTCACCGTCGCGATCATCGTCGTCGTGCCACGTCGCCATCGCCGTGCCCGTCGTCCGCGTCGCGTGCCATCCTCGTCATCGTCGTTGCTACCTCCGCCCAGATAAGTAATCGACGACAATTTTCTTTTTTATTTTTTTTCCCTTTTTGTCTTCTCCTTCTTCTGCTTTCTCTTCATTCTTTTCTTCTTCTTCTTCTTCTTCTTCTTCTTCTTCTTCTTCTTCTTCTTCTTCTTCTTCTTCTTCTTCTTCTTCTCCGCTTTATCTTCCTCTCCTTCTTTCCTTCTCCCCCCGACGATCTTTCCCCGTCCCTTTCCCCTCCCACTATCCACTAGTCCTCCCCCTGCGCGTTTCCCCTTCCCCGCGCGATTCTTCCTCCCCCCTCCATGCGATCTCGACTTTACCCCCCGCGCTATCTTCCCGCGCGATCCCGACCCCCGTCGCCCTTCCCCCTGCCGACCCCGAC